GGCTTGTTTGCACCTGCTCGGATTACCTCCTCTGAGCTGGGAGAGGTGGGACACGGGCCGGGAGCAGTGGTCGGGATGGTGGCCCAAAAGCCCTTTCTTGTGGGCTGGGAGCAGTGGGAGGGTTGGTGGCTGTGAAGCCCCTTCCTATTGTCTAGGAGCAGTGGGATGGCGGCTCAGAAGCCCCTACCTCTGGGCCGGGAGCAGCGGGTCTCAGTACCATGATGTGGTGTTCTGTTGTCCTCTGCATCTTTGTAGTGTGGAACCTGGTGGCTGTACAGAGGAGCAGGGGGGGGGGTTCCAGTGGATTGTTGCTGTTGCGCTGGCTGCTTTGGCATGTTCCACGCGACTCGGGACCTCGGTAGGGCATGCACAGACCTGCCTGTCTGCAGCGGGCTGATACTGTGTCGACTTTCAATGGAGTTTTTCATCTTCTTGAAATCTATTTCCATCTGTTTTATGGATAAATCTGTGTATTTTTAATTGATCTTCATCAAAAGGCCGAGAAATGATAATCTGTACATTTTTTTGTCAATTCACTTCCATAACAGGTGCCAAGAGCACACAGTAGGGGGAAAATTATCTTCAATAAATGGGGTTGAAAAATTGGATATCTACATATGCATAATGAAATTGGACTCTTAGACTATGTGCAAATAATGTGAAAAAGATGAAAGAAGCAAAAGTGATCCTTTTAAAACAACCATATTAATCTTATCCCCATTCTTCTCAAACCCCTGTATTTGTTTCACATTTCATTCAGTATTAAAGCCAAAATGCACACAATGGCCTATAAGAGTTTTCCTACCTCTTTGGCTTTATGTTCTGTCATACTCCCCTAACTTACTATGCTCCACCTACACTAGTTTTCTTGAATTTCTCAGAAATATAGGCACAACCCCTGCTGCTTCATATCCTTTGTACTTGCTGTTCTCTCTGCTAAGAATGCTGTTCTCCCAAAGTAGCCTATAGTTAACTCTCTCACTTGCTTTATTCTTTGTTCAAATATTACCTTCTCAATCATATCCTCACTTTACTACTTTTAGATCAGTATAACCTGAACCACATCTATGCTTCCCATATTGCCAATTCCCCTTATCCTGAGGTATTTTTCTTTAATAGCACTTCTCAAATTTAAACATTGTAGATAGTTTCCTAACTATGCTTATTTTTGTTGTCTACTTTCCTCTACTACATTGTAAGTTAACTGAGAACATGGATTTCTGCTTTATTCACAAGGATATCTCACATTATTGGTATAGTATTTGGCACATAGTAGTCAATAAATGTTGAATGAATGGCATGTTATGGTATAACAGATTATTCCTTTGTGAGTCATTTCTAGGCTAAATAATAAATATACTGTCAAAGACTTTTTCAGAAAGAAATCTATGAGGATTGCTAAGATGTATTTTAAAAATATTTTGACTTCCTTAAATTAATAACAGTGTACTACATAGTGAAATCCACATTCTATTAAGTAGAATGCTACTTATGTGAAGCTGTTAGATGCAATTTCTTAGAGAATCCTAGAATATCAGGGCTATGAAAGAACATAGGAGTCATCTAATCAGTTCCTTCATATCAGCCATGAGAATACTAATTAAATATTGCAACAACACAAGCCAGGTGTAGTTTACTTATGTTCTGATATTTTCTGTTCAACTGGGTAATCCTATATCAGTTCTGCAGGAGACAATATGGTAATCTCTAAAACAAACCTCTCCATTAGTCACTCCTATGGGGGATGAGGAGTAGTCACATTCTTCCTTTCCTCAAACCAATAGACATTTCTATGTGGGTGTACACATAAAAGTTTTCAGTCTGTGCACCACGTGATCATATTCACATTATTTGGTAGAGTCTTAAGGCTTTATAAAAATATTAGATGGCTGGGTTTGGTGGTGCATGCCTGTAATCCCAGCACTCGGGAGGCTGAGGTAGGAGGATCATGGTGGTGAGTTTGAGGCCAGCCTGGGCTACATAGTGAGTTCAGTGCCAGCCTGAAATATTAAGTGAGACTCTGTCTCAAAAAACCAAAAAAAAATATTAGAAGTTTATGAGTCATTTATTTTTATAAAATAAAGGAGGAAAATCAGGAGTTGTGAGAAAGGGGAAAATAAGCATATTTTGCTGGTAGACAATCTATTCTCACCTTTTCAAGTTTCTTCTTGCATTTGTTGTAGAGTAGCAGAGTCAGTTTGTGAAAGTATTCATCTCTATAAGGGATGTAGGAAGGAATGCACAGCTTGCAGTTACAAAACTGGTAGCCTATCTCCTTCAAACTCTTTTCATAGCATTGATGTAACTAGAGTAGCCAGCATGAATAAAAGTATGAGCCTTGGGCAAAGTGGATAGTTTTGAAAGTAATATTGAGACAGCAATTTTGGATGAGCCTGTTTTTTTTTCATTTATAAGTGCACATGTTCATAAGCTAATGGTTGGAAAACCCTGATAGTTTTCTGCATGCTGATTGAACATGTTCAAGCCTGTAGGTTTAGAATGTTTCCTCAAGTGGAAAGGGGACAATACAAATCTCTTCAAGACCAAAAGAGAAACATTATGTTTGAGTAACAATGAAATGTTTGATTGACTCAGATAACACCATTTGTTTTTTTCTAATTTTTGACCCTTCTTATTTTTCTGTTACCTCTATCTAGATGTCCATATTTTAGAGGTCAGTGGGGAAACTATTGGTACATGGGAACCAAATGTGACCAACTCTGGAGTACTATGGACCTGATTTTAGTAGCAACATTGCCTGGAGTAGGACTGGCTTTAATAGTTGGTGTAACAATCCAGACTATCCACTACTGTAAAAAGAAGTCAAAGAAGAATACAGATAATCACCGGTAAGAAATTCCTAAATACCACTGAGAATTAATGGGGAATCTTGTGAGTTCAGCAAATGAATCAAGAAATAGTATTTATCATGCACCCAACTGGTACGATCTTTTTCATAGTAATCAACATTTTAATTAAATTGTAGCAAAGGGCAGAATAATACTGCTAAACCAGAAGTATTTTTTTTAAGATTTGGATAGAGCAAAAACCAGAACATCCTTTCCTCAGATAAAAACCACATGTAATTAACAAAATAATTGTCCTATTTTAGTGCTTTCTTTCCACTAAGGCAGTATTTGTGTGCACTATACATACTGTTCTAACAGTGTGGAGACTGGAGGAAGAGAGGCTGCTGTGTCAGTACCTCCTATCTACTCCATAATTCTAGCAATGATGTCAGAGAAATGGAAAGAGAAATCCAATAGACTTGGCTGCAGTCAACTGCTTGGGCATATCTCTTCACCTCACTGGGCATTAATTTCTTCATCCATGAAATATAGATTGTTATAATTATACTAATCACCTCAGAAAGATGGTGAAAATGATACTGAAAGCAGTAGTCATTTACTGAGGGTTTATTATGTGTGGTAGGCTGAATTATAAATGTTTTACACTAATCAATTCATTTAATCCTCTCAACAATGCTATCAAGCACTGCTGATGAGTTTACTGAGGCACAAGCAGATCAACTAACTTGGCCAAGTTTACAGGAATGTCTGGATACTAGGCTTAAACTCTACTCTATGCTAATAGAATCCAATTAGATAAAACAGTGCATTGGAAGTTGTAATGTTGGTTTCATTCTCTTCTTTGTTTAAAAGCAAATTATAGTGTTATAAATTTTACTATCTCTGAATGATAGAGATAAAAGTATAAGTACAAATAGAGGAAAACTTCATCAATTTTGTGTCAGTTAATTCAAATTAGAATGTACTTTAAAGTATCATTCCCCAGTGAAAGATAATATTACTTTCCATGTATTATGAGAATATTTTGAAACATTACTTTAAAATTGGAAGTGAAGATACTGTGAACCTCTTAATTCTATGAATAAGCTTGCAACTTGTAATAAATTCAACAATTTGAGTAGCTTTAGATATTTGTCTCTGGGAGAATTGAGATAAACTCTCCAACCTTTTTGTCATTTCAAAATCTTCATCCTGTTTTTATCATTATTCCATATTCTTTAAAGTAGTATCATGTAATATATATCATAAAATCAATTTTTATCAATATTAATTTTGTAAATTAAAATTAGTGTGACGAATTTAATATCAACACTTGATATAGGTTGGAAACCCACTGAGATGTTTAAAAATAATAATAATTAGAAACCTTACCTGTAAACAAGTCATTTTTAAATATTCTTTGTACCTTTTCTATTGTAAAATTTTCTAGAACATTGGATTTGTATTACGATCCTCTCTTCTACAAACTCACTATGACCCTGAGTAGATCCCTTAGCCCCTTCTTCTTCTATATATAGAGAGGAGTAATACATAGTCAACCTCCTAATAGTTGTGCTATTCAAAGGAAATAATTAATGGAAAATTGCATAAAGAAGCAAAAGAAAACAAATAAAAGTTTTGATTATAAATCAGGATGGTAATAGTATTCACAAGAACTTGGGCTTAGGTATAGGCTTTTTTAATTCATTGTAATGCAAGTAGATATTAATAAAGAAAAAATTTAAATCAGTCTTCCTACCTCTATGAAAAATAAAGCCAAATTTCATAGCAAATTAATTAAAGAATAACAATTAATATACTGTGTACCATAATCTTAAAAGAAGGGCTAAAATGTTAGAGTACAAGTCATAGACAAAAAAGACTCTTGCACAAAAGAAACAAATAAATAATAGCACAAAACTTTCTTTTCAATGAACTATGAAACATTAACATATGTATTGAAATATTTTTGAAACTACAGAATATGTAATTTGGGGAATTATTAGAACTTCTCCCTACTTCCTATTTCTCTAGCTTCTTTTTTTCATGTTTTCTTTAACATTTAATAGAAACTATGTACAATAAATTTTTACTGTATTTTACATAAAATAGCCACCACAGAAATTTACATAGGAGGAACATCCACTTAATCTGGCAGTCTGAACCTTTTTCCCCAACTGAACTCTGATTTTCATGCTCTGAGAAAATATCCCACAAGACTGGGCCTTCCTTAACCGTCTATCTTCCTTCTAGGTATAAGCTTTTTTTCCCCCCCCTTGGTACCAGGGATCGAACTCAGGACCTTATGCTTGCAAGGCAAGCACAGCGCCTCTGAGCTAAATCCCTGGCAAATAAGCTGCCTTATTTTCTTTCAGTTAAAATGCATTTTAATTTGTGCTCCTTTTTAATTCCATCATTCATTTAATTATGAATTGACAAAGTGACTCTGTTATCATTTGGAGCAAAAATGTCCCCCAAAACACTCATGTGTTCAGAGGTAGGGCTTTTGGAAGGTGATTGTATCATGGATGCATAACATTGTCAATAGATTAACTCATTGATGAATGCATTGTTGAATGAATGGATTTTTAGAAGGTGGGGCCTAGAGCCAGCTAACTATAAATTGAAACCTTTGAAACCATAAGCCAAAGTAAACCTTTCCTCCTTTAGTTTGTTTATATTATATATTTTGTCACAACAACAGAAATCTGACTAACACAGATTCTGAATATATTCTGGGAGATTCTTTGGTGTAGTGGAAAAAGAGCCATCAAATTAGACAGAGCAAAGTTCAAATCCCTGTTCCATGTATTACTGACTGTGTGGCCTATGGAAATTTCCTTAAAATTTCTCAGCCTCAGGTTTCACACCTGCAAAGTAGAGTTAAAATCAGGAGCTTTTTATAATTATTCAAATAAGATAATGTAATTTTATGAATATCAATATGTCTGCAATTTTCTTTCAATTGCATCAAAAATAAGAAGGAATATTGGATGGATAGTGGGATGGATTTATGAACAGATATATGTTAAGATATGTATAGGAAAATGCTAGTGGTGGAATCAGTGTAAGAGATATATAAGCATTCACTATAAAATTCTTTGAACATTGCTATATACTTGAATATTTTATAATAAAATGTTGGATAAAATCAAATTGTGTTAAGTAAAGTATCTTTAACATCGAAAACATTCAATAAATGATAGCAAATATTACTTTCTTTTGGGCATAGCTGAAAATGGAAGCACTCATTTTGTATTATAAAAATAGTTCATCAAAAAATCGATTTAAAACTAATTAAACAAATGCCTTATCCTAACTGTACTATGTTTTTTGTTGTTGTTAATATGGCAGAGAACAGAGTGTTTCATCAGAATATCAACCTCAGCATAATTGTGCACGTGCTTTTAATGATGACATGAGGCCTCAACCTGATCAAGGCCAGGTAAATAATGAAATTCACTTGTCAAATAAACAAATTTACAGAAGATATCAAAAGGAGAAATATCTTGGAAAAAAATCCTTGAGAAATTAAAGAAATATTCAGAGGCAATAAAATGAATTGTTATCAGATTAAGCTACACAAATATCGGATGCTTAATGATGTCTTATGTATCAATAGACTACAGGCCAGGCCTGGGGCATTCACACTGAGAATTTTCTCTACTTGTCTTCACTTTAGTTCATTTCTAGGTAAAATCAACTTAAAATGCATATATCAAAGATAGCTGTGAGAAAGTTAACACAGATATCAAAGGAGAAAATAAGGCACTAACCAAAGTCCACAATGATATTGATAAGAGGACAAGGTATATATATATATATATATATATATATATATATATATATATATATCATTATATGTTTATATATATAAATTATATATATGTATCAGAGGAACATTGAAATCTCTTTGAAAATCAAAAATCTCTTCTCATATAATAATGTTTCCAGTGGCACAGACTCTCTAAAGGAAAAGATTTGTGGAGATATCTTCCAATTTATAGTACTTTAAGTAAAGCTCTAAATTGAGAATAGAAGGGGTGTGGGTACCATATTAGACTACCAGTGTCAGAAGCAGCAGCAATGCTTCTTTTGTTTTAAATCAAATAAATCTCAAATAAAATAGCACAAAATCATACTTTATTATGATTTATTATTAAATTCTAGAACATGCCCAATTATGATCAATACATTTTAAGGAAGTAAGACCTGCATTGAGATTGAACTCCAAACTTAACATAAATCTATATATGTTTCTGATACTGCACCATCTTGACAATATTATGGTAAATTAAACATTTTTGTTTTTTATTAGTACATGTTTACAGTATATAATGATTATATTCCTTGTGGGGAGTTGTTACTTGTATGTAATACTTCTTAATTATTTTCTCATCCACTTCCCTCCATCTTCCCCTCTCCCTTCATCTCCTGGTCCCCTTTCCTTTTCCCAATTTCCTATTATCTATCTCCCCATTTTCTATTATCTTTTTTACTGCTGGTTATTTATAGTGTAGATTTCTCATATAAAAGAAACCATGTGATATTTAAGCTTGTGTATCTGATTTATTTCACTTAACATTATGGCCTCAAAGTGAATCTATTTTCTTACAAATGACTCAAGTTTATCCTCCTTTATGGCAGTGTAATATTTCATTGTGTGTAAATACCACATTTTCTTTACCTATTCATTTCTTGTTGGACATAAAATGGCTATGTTCAATAAATTTTACTTTCCATTTCCTATCTTAATCTTCCTCTGGCTAAATGTGTCTTGTTACATCTACTTGAAGAGTTCTAATATGGACACTTTCTCATCTGCAATGTTTTCATTTTTCCTTGGCTGGGGAAGGCATAAGTGATCCATAATGCCTGCCCTAATTTACTATATTCTTCTCTTCCAAATTATTTTCCAAAGTCTGCAGACTTAAAAAACAGAAATGAACTACAACTTCATCCAATATAGTCTCTCAGATGCAAGGATAGGTAATTGATGTACTATATTTATTTTCTCCATGGAAAGAAAGTGGCAGATATCTGCCTCTAGATTCAAGCCATGACAGAAATGGGAACAGAAGACAGCCTTGTTAACCAATAATTGGTTTGCAATTCCCACAGCTTATCTCACTCAAACCTCACTGAAAATAGTTCCTGATGGGTGACTACCTCTGGGGGGATAGTGATTGAGCTACCTGTAGGGCACCACATGGATAGTCTAGTAACAGCCTTCATCTTTTTGGTCTTCAACTTCTTGTAATTGTAGATCTATAACCTCATTGTTATCACTCTTTTAATCAAATATATTAACAGAGCTGAAACTTTAGGATATCTATAAATCGGAACATCAATATATGTAAAAGGGCCTTCCAAACATACCCCCATTTCAGTATACCATGACTTTTTAGATAATCTGTGAGATAAACCTACTGTTTCTCAGTAATTTTTGAATAATATTAATTGACCTTCTAGATCAATGTGTGTTTCATCCAGCTAATGATATATTGATCTAATCATTGTAACTTGGCCTCTACAGCCTTTGAACCAGGTGGACTTAGATGCTCCACCTTTGGCCAAATCTTTGGCCAGACCAGAAGAAATATATTTGAGTGCCTGAAAGTAGAATTCTAGTATCATGTCCTATTCAGCCTAGGAGTTCCCATAGTTTCAGACAGGAGACTCTTGGCCCTGGAGTCAGTGCCTCTAAGAGTAAGGGGCAGGAATGTTATTATATCAGAGGGAAATTCAGGCACTATCATGCCATCTTTATGTTTAATTATTTAGGAAATACTTTTCCACACTGGGATAGAGATGTTGCCTATAAATACTTAAATAAATTTTGGACAAATTTGTTGAAGTGGTTTGGTACCATGTAGTGGTGTTACAAACACCATAGTCTAGAGCAGTCTGTATCAAACAAGTAGAACTGACATCTTGAAGTCAATAGTCTTATTCATTGTGTTCATACTAGACAATTAAAACCACTAGTTAGGTCCTAGGTCTCATCAGACAGAACTTTCAAAAAGATGATAGAGGCTGTTCTACCCTGAAGAATTCTGTAGCCTGAGAACTTTGCAACAGATAAACATGTGCAGCACCTCAATAGCCTAATCTTCAAAGGTTGCAGGATATATGTTCTGGTCTACATCATATGATTTTTCAGGATATTTCTCTAACAGATAACACTATTAGAGCTTTGGTTCATAGATAATATGTGATGAGAGCTGGGTCAAGAAGAAGATCTGTAACTCAGTGGCATATAACTAAGAGTGAAATATATTGTATAAGGAAAGGATATAAAGTGAGAAGAGAAGAGGATCTAGAATAAGGAACTCCATCATTTACTAGTTCTGTGTCCTTAACCTCAGCAAGCATAGTTTTAGCGTAAAAATAATGGCACTACCCACCCACTTGGAGTAACTATGTGTAGCAACAAATCACTAAGTGAGGGCTATAGCTAGAATTTTGTAGTTCATGGAATGAAGAATAAAGCCTCTTTAGAGATTTCTTCATGTTCTGCTCAAAAGAGAACTTTACTAGATAAACAAATCCTTTCTTACATACTTGCAAACATTAATTTCTAGATTGTAGGGAATAGGGAAAGGAGATGTTACTAGTACTCCTGCAGTGAGTCCTAGTCACCTGCAAGCCACAATAGCACAAGGCAAATTAATTAATATATAGACAGAAATGAGATTTAGAGAAGAAGCTGAGTTTTGGGCCTGATCAATGCTGCTCTAGGCAGCAAAGATGATAGACCTTGGGCTTGCCACACCTTTATTCGGTACATCTGGAGTAATAAATGACTCAGAGGGTGGCGATAATCCTAGAACAATGAGGGACTTATGCAGATGAAAATTCTAGGTCATGAGAAACTTAGGTTGATTAGAAATTTGTCCATCCCCAGGATGTCTTCAGCTGAAGTAATCCTGCCTTGGAGCATCACAGCATCACTGAATCATTGAGGTCTTAGCTGTAACTGGAGGCAAAAATGGAGTTATGTTTTGACATGCCATAGCTGGCCTATAGGCAGGAAAACTAGGACTAATCATAATTTTACTTGTGAAATAATTTTCCCCAAAATTATGTAGAATTTCTCTCTACATTATATGGCAGGACTTACTTAAATAAATGCCGAAATCGAATAAATTATTCTAATGGCCAGAAATTCTAATAGTGCTATGGCAGACTGAAAGGAGATATAATTCAATACAATTATTTGTCTCAAGTCATGCTACTCACATTCCTTTTGAAGAGATTCATGAGGCCATAATGTCCCAAATTATCCACTTCTACACTGAAACCCAAGAAAGAGAAATTGTTAATCAATTATCTTATATCTCCTTTCCTTCAAGCCTCTTAAAATTTTACTGGGAGAAAAAGAAAATATATATGTAGGCATTTACACAAATAAGGAATATGCATGCATGTGTTGTATGTAATATGTTTAAACATAATATTCATTCATGCAGATATTCCAAAATATTTATTGAATACAGCACTGCCATATATTAGACAGTCTACTTGGTCAAATAAAAAACATAGCTCTGACTCTCATGGACCTTCTACTCTATTAAAAAAAGAGAGCTATAAATAAATAACCATACAACTAAATATAAAATTTCAATTGTGAGAAGTGTTTATAAGGAAGGCAATATGGCACTAAGGGAGATAAAATGGTATGTGTAATAGAACAGAAGAAAAAGCTTTTCTTTATTCTCTGTCTTAACTGCTCTTTTATTCTTTTATTTTTCCTTCTACTCTTTGCCTCCTAGACTGACTTTCTGAATTTAGACTTTTTATAGGCATATCTTACATAAAATAAATGTATAAATACACGACTCAACAGTACACATAATTTAAGTACTTCCAGTTGCTACTTATTACTGTTACTATATTTCTTAGATTACATGTCACCTTGTAGTAAATGTAAAAAATATTTATTGCAGAGTTACACACTAGTTTGGAAACTGTAAGATTAGGTTAGTTTTGGGTATCTAATAGATGAACATCTATATTAAACAGAAATGCCTAGAGAAAGATTACTATGTTTTCACTAAAGTCATAAGGTGCTATTATTCTTGCCACATCAGTTAAAACTGTGATGCTCTCAAATTTTCTGAAATTATTTTATGAATTACATTTTTATAAACAAAACTCATGAACTGAGGGAATCACAGGATAAAACTGTCTATGTATGCCAGTAGATGACAGTAATTAACTTTAATATCATCCATAATTTTTTGAGGAAAAGTCTCTGAAAATTCAAAAGCAGAAAATGTGTGGTTAAGGTCTCAGGGCAAAATTAATTACAAAATTATACCACCTCTGTATCAGACTATTCTGATTTTCATAAAACTTTAACTGGTGTTATTACACAGAAGAATTTTTAAACATGACTCAATCAAGTAGATACTAGAGAAATATGAAAGTGTAGACGCAATT